ATTTTGTGCTGTGCTTTCCCAAACACTTTCACCTGGTTCTGACTGAGTGACCACCACATGCACAGCCAAATGATTTGATCTTTAATCTCTTTACAGGATTTCAGAGGGCAGTCTTCCATGTAAACCTGACTGAGCTGGTATGATACCAGGATTACACTGCTCACTGTCTGGAAACAATGCAATACAATACCAGGGCAGGGGGCGGTTTAAATGAAGCCAAACAGATAATCTTTAAAGGTCCTACCACAAAATGGATTTGTGTGAGCTTTAAGTCATGTTTGAATGTTGCTTTCTCTTTTTAAAAACATATGCAGTGTTTCATTCTTTAATTTTATTCCTCTGTCTACATCTCCAAAGCTCAAAGTGCTCAGTTTCACCTTGTGATGTTATGAAGCGATACATTTCAAGTTAACAGTTGCCGTTCACCTTTTTGTTTAGCAGAGGTTGGACATTCCAAGGATGAACTCAAAGTGATTCTACTGAAGGTGTCCAACATTGCTAAATGAGATCAAAAGGTGGAGTATTGAGAGAGAAGATCTCACCATTAGTATGCAGAATTTGTTTGTTAAACATGTGTGAATGAAACAAGACCCAACTCCAGGTATGTTTTTGATAAGGAAACATTATAACATAGATCAGAAAATAGCATAATATTGGCCATTTAAGCAAGTCTGTAAACTTTTTACTCTTTGGCTCTCCTGGTAATGGCTGTTGGCCCCTATCCACACTGTAAATGGTACTTTGGAGTAGTTTGACATTGCCAAGAAGCTATTACATTCTACACAGATGTCTAAGTGCCTTATTACAGTTAAACAATTACAGAAGGAGGTGACCTTTGGAAATCTTTAACTTTTTAAAATAGTTGACTGATGTTTCTCAAATGCATTTATGATGCATGGTCAAAGAAGAATTTATGTCAACTGCTGATCAGACAATAATGTTCAAATCTATTGAATCAAACCATCTAATTTCACTAACAAAGATACACATAGCCAAAGAGTATGCATTTGGGTGAAGCAATCTAAAATGTTTTCTTTAATGTTTACCCTTTGCAAAATGTGGCAACTCTAGTCTGCCTGAAACACTTAACAATAGGAAATAAAAATAAGTGTGAAAATATGTGTGATCTCACAAAAAACAAAACAAAAACAATACATAGTTGTTCTGGCCTCTTGGAAATAATGCTCCAAGATCAATGCCTTTAATATACTTAAGAATTATAGGCCAAAAGAGTGATGTCAATTGTCACTCCTGTCCTTCTGAAATCTCAAATATGGATGTGACTCAACCATGCCCTCAAATGCCTTTCAGCAGCTCCAACTTTCTCAATCATGGCTTTAATTTCCAGATCGACAAACTTAGCCTACATCTCGGACAAAAATACCCCCAGCTTTCACATTCCAACAAAAATAACGCATGAATTCAAACTTCGGCCGAAAGAAAACGATTCATTACGTAGCCTCTATTTAGCAACCGTCAGTGGGAACATATAATCCAAATGAAATTGCAGAGAGAGTGCTATTAAAAGTGGGACTCATAGTGTTTTTCATTCTGGGTACAAGTGTCCAGCTGTTTTGATGGCGGGGGCCTGGTGTGATAATGACACTGTGCTGAGATGGAAATAAATATGTGGTGTGATTAAGACAGGGAACATGGAGGGGACACACACACAGAGAGACAGAGGAGAGCTCACCCCGCTGGCTTAAGAGGCATTGATGAAACCTGACGGAGACTAAGTTAGACAAGCCAATAGTTTGTGAAGACAGATGAGAGTTTTGGGATGTCTCAAGACAATATGACGAGTAACTAAGCTGGCATGTTGTGATATATTGACAAATCGTTTAAAGGTTCTATATTACACAAAATGGATTCTTGTGCTTTTTAAACCATGATAAAATGTTCTACCTCATCAAAAACATAACCGGAGTTGTGCTTTGTTTCATATGTTTCAGTAAATCTTTATTATTCGGTATAGTTTTCAAGTTAAAAGCTAACTTTTACCTTTTGTTCAGTAGAAATTGGGCTGAAATGATCAAATTGATTGTAATGAAGGAGTTCGGCATTCAAAAACACACCAGAGCACTTCCTGTATTACCACAAGGTGACATCACAAGGTGTTTTCAGTTGGACTCATCTTAAATATGCAGCGTTTAAATAGTTTTAAAGGTTGTTAAAAAGTATTTTCCTTTTTGATACCATCTTCTGCAGATCTGACAATAATTTAGAGTGGATTTTATCAAGGAATGGAGTAATATTTGGATTGCAGTAAAACAGATCTGGCTTTTGAAAACATACAAAGAGTAAACTGCAAGCCTCCAAGCACTTATCTGTTTTTTCCAAATAAATTCTTTTTTATAGTTTAAGGGGGGTAAGATTTATCGTGGGTACTTTTTCTTTGTACAACGGGAACTGTTTGTTATTTGTCTGTACTACGATAAGATTTAAGCAGTAGATGGTGGAAGAAATAGTATATTATTGTCTATATTTTACAGCAATATATTGCATTTTTAAAGTACCACTATTTATCTGTTTTTCTTTTGTGCCACTTTAACAGGTTTCTTCTTTTTTCAGGTTTAAGAGTTCATTTGCAAAAACAGAGAAGTGCCACTTACAAGAAACTAATAAGAGGTTTGCAGCTCACTCTTTGTATGTTTTCAAAAGCCAGGTGTATTTTAGTCAATCAACATTATTATTCCATCTCTCTTTGATAAAATCCACTCAACAAGATTTTAATTATTAAAACCTTAGAAGATGGTGAGAAAAAGGAAAAAGTCAATAAAAAGGTGATCTTCTTTTGCAACTGAGCTTTTGATTTGCCATGTTAGTTCAAATTAACGTCAGTAAAGTCAGTCTCCCCTAAATTTTGCATTTTTATCATTATCACTTGTCAGAGTTGAATATATTTTGAGAGTTTAAATTAAGTGCATAGTATGTCATGAAAGGCGAGATACAAATCCAATTCTTTATTATCATTCTAATCATCGTATAGGGCTTTTGGCATTTAGTCAGTCGATTAAACAGTTGATAGTGTCTAGTCAACCAAAATGTATATGCACAACAGAAATGAAAGGAGAAGTTAGTGCATAGTGAGTTATATATTTTTTTGTATTTATATGTAAAAACACAGATTAAACTTCTGATTCACAAACACAATCTGTCTTTATCCTATTTCCTAGTACTTTTTTCTGCAAAAATAGCTGTTTTTGCATGAACTCCTGTCTAGGTGTATTTTTGACCATGAATTTCTTTGATCAACTACTGTCCCTACATCTTCCTACTACATTTGTGAAATATGAATAAGTTGCTCCAGTGCAGTCATCATTCTTCTGTGAATCTACCTCAGCAAATCTTAAAAGTCAATAAATAATAAAAGTCAGTATAAACATAAGTTATGCCAACCCCTTGACCCCATTTCACAAATCATTCTTGTTTTACATTTGAATTTTGAACAGTACACTGATCATTAAAACTCCAGGTCAGCATTTGGCCATAGAATTTCAATAAACTGAACAAAATACGCTGTTTTTGCACACAGCCTTGACCAGTGACCACAGAGTAAGCACTCTTCTTCATTTCCCCTCCCTTCTCCAGAGTTTTCATTGTGTCCATCAATAATCCATTACAACATGCTTACCCTTGATATTTCCGCAGCCAGATCAATGTGCAGCCATAAAGCAGCAAAGTGGTGATCAGCCAACACGGTTTTCTGTCAATTCTGATCTAGCCCGGCATACATCAGAGAAGGATGAGGTTTTGGGCAAAGAAATTATTTATATGTTTGCTAAAACATATGGGGAAATGAGACAAAAAATAGGGTCTAAAACTACAAACAAACAAACAAACCAAAAAAAAAAAAAAACTATTCAATTGTATTTATTATTATCATATTTACTAAAAGGTATAATGGATGCAGCTTTACATTTGGGCCATAAAAAATGAAGGATGTCTAGAGTGGAATTCAACTTGCAATATTAATATAAAGAAAAAAATCGAAATATTTTCTCTTTTACAATTTAAACTCTGACAGTTTGCTTTTAATGCGCTTGCAATGTGTTGCTATTTTGGCTTGTTTTATACTGCCATCTTGTGGCTGGATGAATAATAACTTAAATATGCTTTAGATATTTTAGAACGTTTTGTGGGCATATGTCAGTTCATCTCACCAATTCCAAACAATTCATCTTTTACTGCGTACAATTCAACAGTTCAAACCGTCATTCAATACAAAACTGATACTCATCTGCTAACTGCCCAATAAAAACTACTACTGCACTACTACAACTGGAAAATAAGAAGATTTAGCATTTTCACAGGGTAATCTAAAAACATATTTTGAAGCTGCATCAATGAAGAAAAGTAGGTTTATGTTTTTAAGTGAGCTGTTTCTCACAAAGTTGAATCCAAATGTAGTTCAGAACAGTTTAGAGCGCTTGTTAGTAACAAACCAATTATGCCATTGTCACAGATTATGGAAAATCACTTGCAGCTGCAACGCAAACAGAACATTCAGGCACAATCCATGCATCACTTTAATTATGGAAGTCTGTCACAGTGAAAGCAACTAAACAGCCAGAAGAGTGCACGCTAATCAGACACTATTATTCAATACTGTAAGCAAAATGAGTGCAAGAATAGTGCACAGACTAGCATAACCAGGCTATTAGCAAAATTAAATATGTCAAGTCATCTAGAGGTTTATAATGATCTGTCTGTTTCTTATTATGATGAGTAGCATTTGATGAATTTTCTATGAAACAGACAAACCAAGACAAATACTGTTAAGAAATCATCAAGCTTGTGACCATGCAAATAAGCAATCTTAAAGACTTGCTTGTTTGTCCAGACCAGGTGAGTGAATCAAACACTACAGCTTAACATGCGGGCGTAGGGGCATGCTTCAGATGAGGTTAGCTTTGAGTGGAGTTAGCAGACATGGAGGAAGATAATTAAAAGTGAACTACAGTTGATGTTTGATGGTAGACACACTGGAGCGTACATACCCAGAAAGAGGCGCTTAGGGAGTCTGACCTCCTCATCCTTACAGTCTGTGGCTACAGACAAAGGCACAGTGCAGAAGGAGGGAGAGAAACACAGCTCGTTTGGTTGGGTTCTAGCCAGAGTTGAAGACAACTTTTCAGTTCTAACAATAGGAATTTGAGGAGAGGTTTGACTCACCTGTAAATTGTATAACCGCACTGAAGAAATATAGTTAAGAGCCTTAATAATAGTCCGCTTTAGTGCACAAGATTAGTCTCAATATAGAATGCTAATTTCATTATATCCAGATGTGGTCATATTCTTGATTACTGAACCTTATAGGCCTGTGTTTACTGTGCAAGTGTTTATACACAAATTGGACAGACTCACAAAAACAAAAAGAATATACAATATTGCTGACTAGCAATGTATTTAGCTAAATGAAAAGGTAAAATACCCAAACTACAACCCGTTCCCCCGTTCCTTAAAGAACTTATTGTTTCGTCATGCGGTTTGTTGGTTAACTTTGATTCAGAATAGATAAGCTTTTATTTACAGTTCTGGTTAAACATTATATTGTCTGACACACACACTAAATTTGAATAGGCCATAGGTTTGTAAGAGGCCCACAGGGGAGGGAGAGCTGACCTATGAATGAGCGCCTCTTGGTGTTGAGTTCAGTAGTCACTCGGACATTTGTGCACAGGTTCAACATGGTGAGCATTGTGGCAATCATGATGAAGCTCTGCCACAGCAACAGGGTCTCGAAATACCGGCCAAACCTGACAAAGAAACACAAATCATTATAGTAACATTATTTCTCTAATTCCTTCAGGGTAGTAGTTTCTTGAAGCAGTGATACTGTCGATACTGAATTCTAATTTTGCATAACTCCAAAACAATCATATATTATTATTGGAATGTTTGATATATCTCCCACCTATAATTGGGAGTGGAGAAAAGTGTACTTTCACTTCAATGTTTTTGAATAATTAAGAGATTGTTAATGTAAAGTCAGCTTTTGCTACTGAGGGTGTAGCCTCAAGTGTATACTACTCATACAAATGCATTGCCAGTTGAAGACTAGAACATCATGTGTCTTATGAGGCTTTCAATTCAATTACATACTGGAGATTGGTTTGAAAAAATAAGATTTTAATCTGAAAGAACTGGTTTGGTCTGTTCTTACTCCAGGATACCCTTTGTTTACCTACAGCAATTGCTACCCTGTTAGTTTTGCACATCAGTAATGATAGCTGTAGTCAGTGTTTGCAGAAGCAGCTGAACATGAACAAATCATACAAATTACAGTAACCACATTTAGAATGGATAAACATATCAGCGGAAGTATAGACTATATAGTCACATAATATGCTATTAGTGAGTTATTACTCACTTACTAACCCTAAGATGATAATGTTTGCCTTCCTTTTCATCCATATACAGGACAAGGTTGTGTGGATTAGGACAGATAAATGGATCTACCTGAAGAGAATTCTGAGGATGTTGGCCACTAGGAGCACCAGGCACACGTAGGTGGAGAAGCCCTCTGCATTCTGTGTCCGCCGGATGTCTCTGTACTGGGGGATGTAAGGGACCACTCCCCCGAACACCATGGCCCCCGCAGCGACCCACGACACCACGGTTTGGAAGACGGATACGACCTGATCAAACAGCTCATCTTCCATCTTCAGAAGTGCAATACTGTACAGACTGCACTGACGATAACGATGACAAGTGGAGAAGAGTGGTGGGGTAGATTCCCGTCTAAACCCCTGTCTTCTTGGCTCCTTGTGATCAGCTGTAGCGTAAAAAATAATCTGTTTACACGCATAATAACACAACGGCGGCTTCTAATGCCACGCCATCACAAAACGAGTTCAACAAAAACCAGTTCTCCAAAGCGGACTAGAGAGGGCAGTCCCCGTGAGATCAACACAAATGCATATCATATAAAATCAATGGTAATCAAAATAACCTCAGTTACAAAGGAGATTCTTGGTCCAATTCCACCCGTATTATCTTGAGTTCAAAAATGAGTTCCAAATTTTAGCTTTCACAGTCCAAATTTATCTCGTAATCCTTAATATACGCGGGCATGTGGAAAATTACCCCAGCGATAAATGCTGATGAAGTTCATGCAGAGAAATTGAATTAAAATAAGAAATACTGCATGATTTTCAGTCCTTCTTACATAGAAGGCAGCTGAGTTTAGTGTGTAGTAGCGGCTCCCCACTTCCTGAAACGTCATACGTCACACGCACAAACAAAGAGAAGCCTGAAGCTAGATAGTTAGTGCTACAAAGTTGTTGTTGTTTTTTTTTCTTTCATAGGCTATTCAGTTGTGTTGTATATGCCTCTAATTCTATATTCATTTGTAGCCTTGTATAAGCTTTTATATCTTATCAAGAAGATTACGACTACAATAAAATTGTTACGGGCCTATGGGTTATCTAATGTCATTGGTGTTAACCTCAACTACATTAGTAGGCATTTGGGTAATTTTGGAATGGTGCATACAGACCTAGTAAAAGATCTTAGATTTTTATGCCACCAGGTCACATTGGCTGCCATGAAAGAAAGACAGGTTGAATGAAAGAAGCAAAACACACTGATTCCATGATTTCATGCCATAGCTAAGTAAATTGTTATGGCCTAATGCATGCTTATGAGTAATTTTACCAGCAGACCCATTTATTAAATACAACCAGTGACACATCCTGCAGTAGGCCTAGATAACCTTTGTCTATTTAAATATTTCACATGTCTAATTTTTCTACAGCCAGATAGACTTATAATATTTGTTATAAGCCTTGACACTGAATTAGGCTAAACTGTCGCTTATATAGAAAAATCACTCGCTATAAAATAGTGTATTAATTTGAAATGGCCAACTTCATAACCGGATGTTGAAATGTGTCGAACTTCACCCATAACTTGCTACAAAGTTAGGAGTGGACGACTTCTCTTTTCTGGCGTTTTCTAAATGTTGCACTTGGACCAGTCTCCTCGTTGGCTCTTACAATAGTCTTCCTAGTCTCATATTAGTTTAAACAGTTCGTCCTTTGCTCTAAATGATGTCCAAAAGCGAGGAGAAAGCGGCCCAAGAGCTGACAGAGGTGGTGAGTATGACGTCACTGTCCCATGCAGAGACACAGCTGGGCTAGCAAACATTTGGTGTATTTTATCACTCGTCCTTCAATATTCCCTGGCTGACTGTTTCATCCAGATGGAAAAGACGATGGAGCGACTCCAGGGAAGATTCCAAGCGATGTCCAATCAGCTCGAGTCTAAGAATATCCTTCCTAGTGTATGTGTTTAGCCTCATGCAGCTTGTTGTTAGTCATTTAATTTTAGTTCACAAGCCATGGATTGGATTGTGCAATGTTAACACTGCATATTGTCATATTAAGGGTCGTTATTTGTGTATTCCTGTATCAGTGACTATAATTACGTAAAAAAACCAAAAACAACTAACTAACCCAAAGGTGTGTTCAGTCATGAAACAACAACAATGTACCACCGCCTGTGGCCACTAGGGGTCACTTTAGACTACAGACTGTAAAAGAAGCTTTAGACGAATAAATAAACAGTACACTCTCATGCAACACTGTAGAGTTTTGTACTTCTCTCAGTCATTAGAAATGAATAATAAAATGTCAATTTTTTTCCATCTGGATGTGTGCTATAGGGTATGGTTCTCTCTTGATTTAGGCTTACTTTATTGATAAGCAAGTAGCTCATGTTAGGTTGTAGAGTTATTTATGTTAAATTAAATATGTTGTCTTTCTCTGTAAGGTAGGTCTTGTGCAGATACTTTACCTTTGGCTGATTTGATTCCGCTTTAATGGACTAAATTTTGCATTCACTTTTATCACTGTCAGTGTTTAAGGCATGACATAGGCTAACCGGCTACCTGGTAAATGGCTTATGTCAATGATGTGATTATTTTCAGCTCAAAAACATATTTAGCTAAAACAGCAAATTGTTGTGTAACATTGCTATTTAGTTACTGCATAGCTTAAATTATGTAATATTAAGAGTTAAGAATTAGGTCTATGCGGTAAATTCACTTCTGGAGTTGATGTGGCCATTGAGCACCATATAAAAGTTAACATGTCATTATGACATTAGAATTTGTTTAGTCTTTTCCTTCATTGTCATAATTATTGCTAAGTGCTATTAATGTAATGGTTCCTTATCTTCATTACTGGATGAAATGGGGAGCCGCATTCATGACCTGGAGAAGAATGTGTCTGAGCTGATGACACAGGCCGGCATGGAAAACCAGGCTGTGTCCAAGTGACCCCTCACTGTGCACGGGAGCTGTCCTCTAAACAGAGTGCTGGTTTCCATTGGACTGTCGTATGACATATATGGACATGGACATATACTCACTCAAATTGGTTTACTTTAATGATTTTTTTGGTGCTACCATGGTTTAAACCACTTAACTAAGTTTGATGATTTTTTTTTCCTGTGGATATTGTCAGCCACACTGATGTAACATAAGAGGTTTTAGTTTTGATACTTCACTGTTACTGCCACAATTATCACTGTGCACATTGTTCTTTGAAAAACTGCCAAAATATATTAAGTGTCTTTTAATTTTTATAGTTTTCCTTGTAAATATCCCCATTGTGCTTTGGTTACAATGCTTTACCACTATTTTGACATGGACCTATATTTTTGATTTTACTAAGATTTCTTTATAGCTGTACACTTTGATTGCCAAATAAAGAATATTTTTAACTTTACCTTACATTGATGGTTACAGTTTTGCACTCGGCTTCAGTTTGTGTAACACAATATTACTTCCTAATGCACATTTGGTAAAACAATATATATTCAATGAATAAAGAATAAATCTGCATATGTTTCCCTCTAGTGGTAAAATGCTATTGTTAGTGGGGCACTGTCCATGGTCCTGAATGCCTCACCTCTGCCAAAGAATGTTGAGGGCAGTTGAATTGTTTTTTCTATTACCAAGATACAGCGATATTGTTATCCTGATTTTAATTTCAATTCAGCAAACAAAAACATCATTCCATATACATGGTCATATATAATATCAGATATACTGAAAAAACTAAAACAGCCAATGAAGCACACTGCAGACAGAGTGAAAGACTTATCTAATCTATTTGCATTTGTGAACTTTGATGGCTGGTTTAACACTGAAACTCTTCCTTGCTCTTGCATATGTCTTAGAACCGGCAGCAGCAGTTGTAATCAGTTTCTATTCCTGTAGATTAAAATGTATTACAGCAGACAGACGGTGATGTATGTTACAGAGCCTGAAATAACCGAGGAGTTAAATTTAGAGCTGGCACACAGATGGAGAGGGAAAATATAGTCTGGTTGTATCAATGTGTCTGGTTCTTCGATGTGGAGGTGGTAAGAGAACAGGAAATTACAAAGTGAACATACAAAATTTAATAATTATGATCACTTCTGCACCAGTCTATATACTAAGTTGCTGGACCAGACCACATGCATGTTGAGGTCAGCTATTCTAAAAATCTTGTAAAATCAACTTATGTGAACAAACTAAGACATCGAAAACACATGAGCATTATTACATTTTTTTTCATTAAGCCATAGCCCATCATATGTCCCTTTCAATTCACCTTGTGATGTCATTAGGTGCTAATCCAGGAAGTGTTTCCAAATTTGTCATTAAAAGGTGCATTGAATGAATGAGGCCACCTGCTTCTCACCATGGATCATTTAACCTACTTTCTAGCATTTGGGCGTTTTATTGCTTTGAAAAACCCTAAAAAAACATGCAATATAACTAATAAACTTACGCTTTGTCTGGAATATTCCATATCACACCATTAGACATATCACTTTTGCATTCATTCAATTAAAGTTGTTTTTATTGCTCAAAAACACCTTGAAAAATATGCATTCTTATTATGAGCATGGTCACCTCTTCATAAATCTGGCCTGTAACTTAACTCGGTGATGTCACATGACTGTTTTAATGAAAATAGCCATGTCTAATATCATATTGTGCAACATTCCAGGCAGAGCAATGACTTATCCATGGAGACAACCAAAAGTTACGTAATGCATCTGAATTATCTTCACTATACTTGTACATCTCCACTTTGAAGGTATTGCTGTTAGCTTTGTTTGAACTCCTTTCGGTACAAAAGTAGAGGGTGTTCATGCTGTTCAAATCAGGGCTTAATTACTGCCACTTAGTGTTTTGCATATATTTACATTACTTCTAGCTGTAAATAGTGAAATCCTGGTGGTATGTTATTTCTGTCACCCCAATTACAATACTCCACCTCTGCTGGGATATCGCTAGGCAGCCGAAACTAACGACAAAGGAAACAGGTGGTGGTGAGGTGGCTTTGTTTACATGCATAGAGAGTGAATGGTAGGCACGGTGATGGAGAGAGAGGGATAGAAGAGGAGAGGGGTAGAGAAAGAATGAGGGACACAGAGAGGGAGGGAGAGAGAGCTGGTTGGACGTGGCGTATTTTCACTTCAAAAGACAGCTCAGATTAAAGCACACCAGGAATCAAAGAGCCGCAGGTGGTGGGCTCACACAGGTGTTCACAGTGTAGCTTACTATATAGTAAAATAAAGAAATGTTTCTATTTCTATGACTTCATTTGTTATAACTCCTCTCTCCTTTGGTCTGACTGTTGATGTTGTAAATGAAAACGTTGTAGCTTTAAGAGGGATGACCTTGACAGAGACAGCAGATGGTGCAGTGTGCGTAGTGGCTTTGTAGTTGTAGAGAGTCTTGCATTGTTGAGTTTTACAGGAAACATATGTAAATTTTAATATGATAAAAATAAATCATGATTTTTTTCCCTCCTATTGATCTATGCCAATTTTTTATTCAAATGTATTTTGTCTTATTATTCTTATTAATGCAATATAAGAAGGCTTTTACATACTTTTAATCATTGCAATTTATAAGTGCACTATGCAACTTTTGGAAGAGGACCCAGCACCTACTTGTCTCTATGGAAATATTATTGCACTTTTCTGTCACCAGGCCAAGTTGCAAGTCAGATCTGTGGAAAGGTGACACTACTCACAGTAAGAATGTTTTCCAAGAAATCTTTGAGCAAAGATGTTTTTATTGTGCAAAGATAGTATTAGTAAAGGTATGAATAAATGCAAGATGGATGAAGTTAATGCCTTAATGTGGAACATTCCAAAGGAATAGCTTCTCTAGGGAAACAAGCTTTATAAGCAGAAGACCCTCCACCAGAAAAAAGTGACATAGTGTACTTTCAACACAAAAGTGTTTTTCCAAAGTCTGCTCTGCTCCAAACCAGATTGATTTCATTAGATGATTAGATGATTAGGTGGTTCACAGACCTTAGTGATGCTTTCAAAATAAAAGACAAAATGTTGAATGTCTTTGGCTTTTGTGTTTTTAATTCTAGCATAATTTTTATTTGACTGGTTTTGTTCATGATAATCCCCTTCTAGTCACTGACATGCAATGTTAGTTGAAACAACAATATGATTTAAGGTGTTACTGTGAATATTTAATGCCTCACTATAACTCGACTACTGGAAAAAGTATGCTGCAAAATAAATTACTTTGGGGGAAATATATAATGATTTTTGTTGAAATACCAAAAACCAAGTGAGATTACCCTGTGCTTCAGTTTTGAAAGCGTCAATGACTCAGCCTGTTTGTGGACTCACTACTGTTGCTGTGCGACAGATTACAACTATTTGCCAGGCTGCACTTAGAAACATATATTTGAACCACTCAAGCGCTGTATTTGTGTACTTGGTTTGTATGGTCTATTCATGTACAAAAATACTCATGCAGTAGATTCTGAGAAGTAGGGCAATATAATACACGGAATTTATATAATGCCTGTTGATCGAAGTGCATAGCATTGTTTACTCATTCCCCCGGGACTAATTCACAGAATCATGGCTGCCAATTGGTCACAATGGCCACAGATTGGAAGCAGCGGAAGCAGATTTAGCCTTTTAATAACTTCTGACAAATATTTAGAGCATCGGATATTCTTGAAGGTGCACTATTTTTATTCAATTACAAGTTTTTATTACTAAAAAAAAATCTTGCATACATTCTTTTTCAGACAAAGCAATAATATCTCAATGAAGACAAGCAGGTGATGCAGTCTTTACCAGAAAAGTTACAAGTGAAGAGCTATTGGTAAAGTGTTTCCAAATAATCATAATATTTGGCACACTTCTTTTCCACTGCTTGACTGCTCCCTCACCCTCACCTCTATCTCAGGAATAGGCACGTCTTTGTCCGTCAGCATCCGTCCTGGATCCGTGTCCATGGCTACCAGGTCAACCTGGCAGTCGTCATGGCAGTAGTGTGTGCAACTGCTGCACTGTTCAGGTTGGGTGCAATCTGACAAGAAGACCAAAGAAATAAAAGTGTCAGACAGCAACAAATGTCTTGATCTGAGTGGATAAAAGTGGAATGTTGTTAACACCGGTGTTAAGAAGACTTATTCATTTTTTTTTTCATATATTTTGTCATAAACTATCATCTCTGTAGATCATGATTTTAAATCGTGATTACTGTAAATAGCAATATTGATCTAAAATGGCTTAGGCATACAATGTAATTCCACTAACTTGTTGAAAACTAATGATACACATTATATAACATTTGTGGTTGAGGGCCTGCCACCTCAGTTTCGTTGAATGCCTTCCCTGGAATGGAATTCACTTTTCTCACATTTATTCAACAAAGGGTTTTCATTGTTCAAAATACTTTGCAAAAACATGTTTTTCTTACTGTAAACAGGGTCACTTCTCCACAGATGCTTAGATAGGAATAGATAAATTTAGATAAACTTTACTATAATGTGGAATACTCTGCCTCTAACTGATTGATCGTCACATAATGCACCTTTAAATAAATAACGTAAAAAAAAAATAATAATAATAATCATAATAATTAGCTTTGCTTAGTCGAATTACTGCAATGAATATACAACTGCTGCTAATTTAAGTATTATTTTGTGAAAAACAAATCAACATTCCTCGTGGTTTAGTTCAGTATTGTTACCAGGTGAGAATTACCAACAGAGGCGTGCGTGCATAATGAGCATATGGCTGCTGCTTGAATGGACTATAATGAATCCTTGCAGATGCATTCAGGTGTTAAGCATCACACTGTTTCCCTCTCTCCCTCTCATTACCACACCTAATTAAGAATCTGCCAGACAACCTTCCTTCCTCCTCCTCTGCCTGGGTTTTTTGTGCTCCTGCACCCCTGCTCGTCATCCATGTGAATCCATTGTCCTATTAACCTGCCCCCTACCATTCTCCTCCTCTGTCCACCCTTCATCTTGGTCACATCATTTCTCCCTGTAGTCTTCCTCTTCTCAGCCCTTCTATGATTAAGCGCTTCAGTGCCCAAGGTGGCACATCCATTGGTCTGGGTAAAGACAGGGCCATTAGCACTAGTGAAGTCCAGCCACGGAGATGAGACTTGTTAGAACTAAAAAGGAGTGTATTGCTTCAGGGAAAGAAGTGAAAGTTTTAACATATTTAACATATTAGACAGCTCTAGGCGGAGCAATTTAAATTCCCTGTAGAAGCAAGAAATGTTGAATGTGGAAATATTTTATCCAAAAGATTCTTTCTTCTGAATCCCAATGTGGTTTGTGGATGAGGATATTGGACAAATTGATTAGAATGTTGTTTTTTAAATGTCTGATTGTGCTGAATTCCACAATCTACACAATCAGAAGTGTTTACAGTCAGAAGTTTG